TAGGTGTTAATATGGGAGAGATAAAGGAAAGTTGTGTGAAAGTTAGAGCCTTTAAGGAGCGCAAAGAAGTGTCATTGGAGAAATCTATCTCACATTGCAGGTTGGGCCGGCTGAATTTCCCATTCTATTTCTAGTGATGGATGTACTGTCCAACTACAACCTGTTGTTGGGAAGACCATGAGTTCATATGGCAAAAGAGGTTCCTTCCACTCTTCATCAATGTGTAAAGTTTGAGTGGGGTCGCACAGAAGTTACCATCCACGGAGAGTTCAGTCACCCCATTCATTCTGTTAAATCTGTCCCAGTCATCGAGGAGTTAGACGGAGCCACTTTTCACACTTTGGAAATCATGCAAGCTATAAGGGTCAATGAGGAAGCAGAGGCAGGTAATACAAAGTTGTCAAGTACAGCAAAAATGATTGCGTCAGAAATGTTGAAGTATGGGTATTAGCCAAAGAGTGGACCTGGACCCAAGTCCAACGGTATAGTCAAGCCAATCCAACTGAAGCATCAAAGAGGCACCAACGGACTCGGATACGAGCCTGCCTTGGGAAGATTCCACCAGGAGGCGAGTGATACAATCTTCGTACTAGAACAATCTACGATTCCAGATCAAGCTGGCGTTGATGACATCACAGAAGGAATAGGCAATCTATTCGTAGCCATGACTGGAGATGAGGAAGGGATAAATCTCAACAAGTTGACCATTCGTAATGCCGAACCTGGAGAAATCTTGCAGAATTGGACCACCAGCCCATCCGTATATCAACCAGAGTCCTGGTAGTGTGGAAAAGTTGTCTTTATTTTTAAATTCGCATGATCAAATTGGGGCTTGAATCATGCCTAATCTTTTGTTTCTTGCCTCTTCTAAAAGCTAGAATGCTTAGAAATAAAAAAAGTCTTTATTTTTATTTTATTTTTAAATCTCATTATTTTAAATATCTATTTATTTTTACTTACCTTTTGAACTTTTCAGCACTCATATTAATAAAATTCCTCGTTCAACGGTTATGACATGTAACGAATCCACCGAACAAGGTGAAAATGATGAACAAGATCACGAAGAGTATGATGAAAGCATGATGCCTGAAAATCTGCCACACGAGATCGAGCAGGTTGAAAGTCAGAAGAAACCCAATATGGATGAAACAGAGGTTGTTAACTTAGGAGATAAGGAAATCGTGAAAGAGACACGAGTCAGTATACATTTGGAGGCCGAAAGAAAACAAAAGTTAATAGAATTGCTTAAGCAGTATGTTGACGTATTTGCTTGGTCTTATGATGACATGCCAGGATTAAGCACTGATATTGTCTCGCACAAATTACCGACTGATCCCACTTGTTTACATGTTAAGCAAAAGACAAGAAAATTGAAGCCAGAATTGAGCTTAAAGATCAAGGAGGAGGTAACTAAGCAAATTGAGGCGAACATTGTAAGGGTCACAAATTACCCCACATGGTTTGCCAATATTGTGCCTGTGCCAAAAAAGGGTGGAAAATCAGAATATGTGTGGACTATCGAGATCTCAACAAGGCCAGTCCTAAGGATGATTTTCCCTTTTCCAAATATTCATTATACTCATCGATAATTGTCCAAAACATGAGTTGCAATCATTTGTTGATTGCTTTGCAGGATATCACCAATCCTGATGGATGAAGATGATGCAGAGAAGACAACGTTTATTACTCCATAGGGAGTGTATTGCTACAGAGTAATGCCATTTGGTCTCAAAAATGTCGGTGGAACCTACATGAGGGCCATGACTACCCTTTTTCACGATATGATCCACAAGGAAATTGAAGTGTACGTGGATGATGTCGTTATCAAATCTGAAGTTCAAACCACATGGATGACTTACGAAAGTTCTTCGAGAGGTTGCGTGAGTATAATCTAAAGTTGAATCCAGCAAAGTGTTTGGGGTACCCACAAGAAAACTATTGGGATTCATCGTTAGTGGGAAAGGCATAGAGTTGGATCCATCAAAGATAAAGGCACTCCAAGAGCTACTTCCACCAAAGACCAGGAAAGACGTCATGAGTTTCTTGGGAAGACTGAATTACATCAGTCGGTTCATAGCTCAATCTATAGTGATCTGCGAACCCATATTCAAGTTACTGAAGAAGGATGCTGCCACAAAATGGACAAAGGAATGCCAAAGGGCTTTCGACAAAATCAAAGAATACTTGTCCAACCCCCCAGTATTGGTCCCACCAGAGCCTGGAAAGCCTTTGTTATTGTATCTATCTGTCATGGATAATGCATTTGGATGTGTATTGGGGCAGCATGATGAGACAGGTAGAAGAGAGCAAGCCATTTACTATCTGAGCAAGAAGTTCACATCGTACGAGGTAAAATACACCTTGTAGGAACGAACATGTTGCGCTTTGACTTGGATTGCGCAAAAATTTAGGCATTACCTGTCTGCATACACCACGTACTTGATCTCAAGAATGGATCCACTAAAGTACATCTTTCAGAAGCCCATGCCTACGGGTAAA